TGGTTTGTTCGACTTTCAAGAAATTCGAGTTCTAGTGAGTTCGAGAACCGAGGTACCACTGTATAAGTATAGTAAAATGCTTTTATTTTCAAAATAAAAGAGATTCTGCGGATTTCAAATAGGTTCACAATGTAAATGAAATAGGTTATGTTCCACGTTTTGTTTGTTGCGTAACCCCCTTTCCTTGCTTGATGAATTAGAATTCTTTTTCAGGTATGGTGGGTGTGACCACGCTGATAAGGGGAGAATACACGTAACTCAAAAGCCTTAATCTCCTGCCCCCCAATTACCAGATCTCAACATGGCAAAACATTTAGGGGAAGTCCTGGAGCTTGGAATGCGAAGCAGATTTGTACTAGGGGTGTAAATCACAACTTTCCTCGCGATTCCTTAAGCCAACGGTTCGATTTTTTTTGATACCTCAGAAAATACCACGATACGATTCGATTGTTTGATACTGGGGATAGTAGTCGAAATGATGAAATTTCACACAATCCTTTACATTTCAATGAATTAAAAAGCCAAATATAATTAGCATTTTATCATATCTTATTGGGAACTGTAAACAAAATCTAGTGTAGTCAAGTATGTCCCATAAATCAAGCAAAATAAAGTGGTAAAAATAAAAACTTTGGATGGATGTAGATTAACATGGTGAATAAGTTTTATTTTGAATCAAGTCTTCTCCAGACAAATAGAAAAGTGTAACAAAAAGTATGTCCATAACTGTCATGACCTGCTCGTATGACCCTCTCCTGTGCTACACCCCTCATTAACTTCGCGTGCAATCCCGATTGTTCCCAGCTGTTTCTTATTGTTTCGTCTAGTCCTGTGTATTTAAGTCCACGTCAGAGTTTGTCGCCCAGATCTGTCATTGAAGTTTTCCCTGTGTTGTGTGCTGTGCTTGCCATAGACCCCCCCTCCCCCATTTGTTGTATTTCCGTCTGCCTGACCCTGATTCGTTCCCTGCTTGCTCGCCCTATGCTGGGATACAACAATAACAAGTTAAATAAAGTCAAATAAAAAACATTGCATGGACAGATACGTAGAATGAGGAAGATCAACATGACTGACTTCGGCGGTGAAACAAGTATGTCAGTATTCTTCTTTGAGAGGTTTTTTTTTTTTAAAGAAAAATTAAATGGTCAACGTGTTCAGGAGATTGTGTCCTCTGAGCATAGCGTCCTATGTCACCTGACGTACTAAACACACGCTCTGAAGGGAAGCTAGCTTGTGAGCTACTTATAAATGACCAAGTCAGAATGATCTACTGTTATGATCGCTGGTTGGCGAACAGGCAGGAAGCGGGGAAGGACGAGGCAGGTAGGCGAGGATGCAGGAAATGGGGTTTTATTAGGGAAAGACAGGGCAGACGGCGACGAACATCAATGACGGATCTGGGGAAAACGGACTAAATACACAAGACCAGCCGAAATAACAAGAAACAGGTGATCACAATCGGGGTAGTACGCGTAGGTAATGAGGGGGCGTGGCACACACAAGGATCGGATGAGCAGGTCATGACATCTACCTACTATAAAAATGTAAAACATATATTTATGTATAAAAAAAATTGAGTATTCTTTAAAATTATTTATTATTATTATTATTATTCTTATTAATTTCTCTTTGGGATAAATAAAGTATTTTTGAATTGAACTGGGATTTTAAGTTCCTTCACCTTTCTATTTCTCAGCTCACTTTTCGGAGGGAAGTTAATGTCGTAGTTTTTTACGAACAGTCCGAAAATGCCGCTCCACATTTCCCTTCTTCGGAATACCAATGGTACACTGACAGATGAGGCAAATGCACTTCATATATGACATGGTGAAATAAAACAGTCCTCCTCCCATTCCTTATGGAAGTGGTCGGTTTTTGGCTTCTTACTTGGTCCAGCTCCCCCATTCATTTTTATACCCTTTCTTAAGTTTAGTAGAAATAAATTGGAGGCTAACTAGGCGACTCGGTAACTTGCAGCAGCTGGCGCGGTTGAACGCGTCATCCATCCTCTATTTTTTATGGCATAGCCTATAATCTACCCACACTACCTTTGCGATCGACCAGTAGATCGCGATCGACGTATTGGGCACCCCAGGTGTAGACCATGTATACGTCGGAGTGGATCATGAAAACAATACTGGAACAGGCCAGAAAATAAAAACGCATATATCGATATTTATGCGGTCACATCGATGCATCGGATCGTTTGCCGTTGAATCGATATATCGATACAAATCGATGTATTGTTACACCCCTAATTTGTACCTAATTTTTCAAAAAATGGGGGGGCTTTTCTTCTTGAATACTTATTCTGTACAGTTAAGTACTTGTATATCAACATTCAACATAGTTAAAATTAAATACAAAGCCCAGTTATGAAAACTATTCTTGATTCTTGTAATTTGGCAATTTGGTTAAATGTCATTATACCAAAAATGGGTAACTATCAGGAAGTTAATTTGTTTTTGACTAGTATACATCTTAGCACTCTAATGAATGTTTCTACTGCAAGTATCAAGCTACAAAAGTTCTTTCAGTGAAATGAAGTTGTGCTGCATTGTCCAACTGGCAGTACTATTGTATAGTATGCATAAACATAAATAATGAAGTGAGGTTTCTAAAGATTACCTTTCCCCTGGTCCCTAGGTGCCCCCCAGCGTGTGAATGGAAGGGTGAGTGGGCTTGGTTATGTGGGGGCCACCCCAGTGGAAATGGATAATGTGGACCTGCATAGCTATGTTGTGTTAAGCGATGGACGAGCCTACACTGCCATAAGTCGGCTCCCTGAGCCTCTTGGCTGGGCACTGATGCCCTTGGCTCCTGTGGGGGGTCTGTTTGGCTGGCTGTTTGCCTTGGAGCTTCCAGATCACAAAAATGGCTTCCGCATCACTGGTAAGGCATTAAAGTTGCATTACTTTTCATTTAACGATTGTGTACCTTTTTTATACTGGCATTTCACAAATTATTGGAATTTCATTACAACATCATAAACTGGAGGAAAGAAAAAGTTGAGACAGGATATAAAAACAGGTTTAGTTTATGACTTTTTAAATGCTGTCTGGGAGGAAAACTCACCAGTAGCCTCTAACTGATTTCTTCCCTTTGTCTCCATCTCTCAGGTGCAGAATTCACTTATCATGCAGAGGTTATCTTCTACCCTGGGAACCAACGCCTCACTATTATCCAAACAGCTCAGGGTTTCAGCCCTGAAAACTACATCAGAATGGACACTCGTATTCATGGCAAAATGCCATTCATTGTTTCTGGTGCCAAAGTTGAGATAGAGCCATACAAGGAAGTATACCAGTATTACCCCTCATGTATGATCTAGTCCTAATATTTTAGAACTACATTACACTTCAGTTATGTTCCTAGGAAACCATCTTCTCCTAATTTAGTACATTATAGTATGTTATATGGTGTATAGTAAAGCGGTGGTTATAGTTCATTTTGAATTTTTCACTAATGCCACGTAATCTGTTTCTAGTGGTAACATCTTCTTCAGTCCATAAGTACAAAGTGGTGTCAGCAGAGATGGGCTCAGAAATCTTCTCCTATCAACTGTATCAGAACATAACATTTCGCGAATGCCAGCATGGGCCTCAGACCAAACCCAAGAGCCAGCAGCTGAATGTGGAACGTGTGTTTGTTACGTACATTAAAGAGGAACACATTATGAGATATGCCATCACCAGCAAGATTGGACCAGTTACAGGTAGGTTGGCCCTGTAGTCCTTCCGTTATTAATTTTTATCTATAAAACCCATTCAACTCTAACAGTCAAGGTCTATAGCTGGACACCCCGGTATTTGTATGATTCCAAATATGAGGAATTATCCCAGCCTATTTGCTTCCCAAATTTCTCCTGATCTTTAGCCTAACATTCATTGTTGGAATAGTCTCTTAATGAACATGCTGAAAGAGAGAACACTGAAGAATTTTGTTTTTCTCATGTGAAATAAGAGCCTTCTTGTTGCCTCTCTATATCAGAGATGAGAAGACATCATGTTATGAACTGAGTCTGACACATTGAGGACTGTATGCATGGTGACTAAAAAACAATGTATCTCCTATAAAGATCATAGCGCTAATATGTCCTAGCTTTGTTTCATATGGAGAACCATGGAGAAACATGCATAGTAACGTAGGGGAGTACAGTGCATTTCTTCTATTTACATTTATCACTATAGCATTTTTTTAAAAATCTAAGAGCATGCATAATCATGCATGACAATGTTGAAATATAAGTAAATTTGGTAAGTTCCATATGTGAGGCCTTGCTAGACATGGTCAGCTAAGGAAATATTGGTTTTTTATTGATTATTTTTTAGTGATCCTTTATTGGTGGTTTATTTGTTTGCAAGTTGGTGATTGGTTAAAACTGAATGGGGAGACCAATTATAAATGTCCCTTTTTTGGTGCTCTTTTTATACTGTACTGTATTTTCTGGTATGTGTATGCGTAGTCTGTTACATGGAGTCAGTTCTTATCAAAAATGTACAGAGGAAAACATTCAAATGGTAAGATCTTGTTTAATATTCTTTTGGAATTTGGGTCATTCCATGCCAAATCATTACACTTTTGGAACTCATCATCACGGATTTTAACAAAACTTGGCATGCTGATTTGGTCACAGGAGTAACTCATGAAACTGAAATTGGGCGTGTCTTGGATCAATATTGAGGGAGATTTAATCGAACAAGTTTTTAACTTTTTTGGAGGGGGACTATGACTTTGACTTTGGCTATATTTACCTTAATTTAAGCTGCACAGAAATGGTCCTCATATTGTTTTAATAATAATAATCGATACTTTATTGATCCCTGTGGGGAAATTGTCTTTATGCCTCCCTCAACTTGCTCTTTTTTTGTAGAGTAAGTCGTCTGCTAAGGGCAGCCACCTGTAGCGGCTCCACAGAATGGAGACAAAGGCGCAGAAGTCAGGGTATCGGGGAATACGGGGTTTAATTACAGGTAAGGCAGGCAAAACGCAGACGGACAATACAATGACCGGAATGGGGAAACAAACTGAAACGCGGACGAAATACCGAGAGCTAATAAAAACAACCAGAAACAGCTGATCACATGGGGATTCCACACGGGGTCAATGAGGGGGGCGTGGCACACGGAAGGAGCGGACGATCGAGGCAGGACACATTGTTTTTTTTAACTTTACACATTGTTTGGATACATTTATTTTCTTACTTTACAAATTACTGTTTTGATAAATGTCCTTAGCTGTACACTCACCTAAAGGATTATTAGGAACACCAT